TTTAGAATACGCTGCCGATGAAGAGCAGATCTAGAAGAGTTGACATGAACAGCCACGCTCTCCATCCTAGTAGTCAGTATGATTCGACTTCTCTCCTTGTTATCTGGAAACAAACGATTGACATCATTCCAGACCTTCGTGTCCCATATGTCATCCATTACAATGAGGTACCTCCTACCTATTAGATTCTTGTACAATTTTTCTTTTAAGGCACTGGTTTCTAATTTGTGTATCTCACCCGAGAGTTTTTTCATAGAATCTAGAAGATCTAGTATGATTTTACGCTCATCGTAATTCTGAGATACTGTTACCCAGGCACGAACATGACAAATCTCCTGAATGCGTTGATGATCGTAGATTTTTCTTGCAAAAGTGGTCTTCCCAATTCCGGCCATCCCAACAATGGAGAGAGTTTTAAGTGCCAGAGAATCTCCATCCATCCAAGTCAAGATCTCTATCAACTCCTTGTCAAGACCAACCATAGTGCTCTTGCCACTGCGAGAAGGCAATGAAGTCCTTGGTTGCAAATCTTGTACGCCACTGTCATCCTCAATCTCCATTATCTGCTTTTCTGTGGACTCAAATCTTCTTGTTACTTTTTTTTTCAAGTCTTGAAATGCCAAAGCGATGTCTAATTTTCAAGAAAATCCGTGAGAAACTAATTTTTGTAGGAGAGAGACTAAATTTATTTAGCCCGAGTAATTGGGTGTTGATAATCTGGATTTCTCAAAAATTTCAGTGAGAGAAATAAGAGCAGAATAATCTATTTCGGATCTCTCTTCACACTCAAAAGACAGAAAATTGCAGCAAAATATAAGCATTCAACTTCGTTAAGCAACACTTTAGTATTGCTAACGCCAAAGAAGAAGATGAGCAGCAGAAATTTTGCGTTAAAAATGGAATAAAAGATGCTAATGCAGGCTTGATTAGAAACAAAAAATATCGTTTACTTATTTGTTTGTTGATATGCCAATGTCTTTCATCTAAATGTAATAGCTGTTCGAATCCTTCATTACAAAAAATTTCATTTTTGAGGACGAAAATGAAACAATCAATATGACAGGTTAGACAAGTAAAATTAAAAATGACACGACACAATCGATCTAGTATGTCGAGGGAGGTACACGTCTGGAGTGGCAAATCGACAAGCCAAAAGTAGCTGTTGACCCCAAAAAATGTTGCCAACAAATGCCGGGTCCACTCGTACACACGTAAGTTTGATCCAACACGTTAATGCCGATCAACGGTCAAGATGACTCCAGAAACTGAACGTAGGTGTAGCTCAAAGACACGAGACGTTTCCGTTCGAGCTTCCGGCAAGATAAATGTAACACGATTGTATAAGAAACCAATCGATAAAAATAAGATTTATAGTTGAAATTCGTTGTTCCAATAAGAGAGAGGAGAATGATATTGCTTCAAGTATTTGGAATTTTTCATTATCCTTTTTGTGTTACATGATGGGGATATTTATAGTGTTACAAATGAAATAATGACCTTTGGATCAATTTACACGTGACCTCATCTCCTCGGCCAGGGTATCAAATCCTAGCAATCAAGTTGACTTTCCTAGCCTTACAAAATATTAAATACTCTTACATTGACACGACAAGACATAAAGTTGCTTTTCACAAAAGTCACATCAATCACTCACATGAAGATCTTCATCATTACTATACCTTTTCCACGTGGATCTTCTTTGATAACATAGCCCCGTAATGAACGAAAGCCTCGGATCAGATAAGGCCTTGGAATAAGCTGGGGCCTCGGTCTCCACGTCAAAGGGTAGGAAAATACACCTTGACTCAACTAAGCTGGTCCCACCACTGCAATATAGTGCCACGTATCGCTTCCATTTACGAACCATTACAATTGTCCCCCAAGTCCATGTGTGGTTATTTTATGCCATGCGTGGACTTTCAAGAAGTTATTTAATGCATAAGGTTAACGAAGTTGCCTTCACAACTGAAGTCCTTTTGAAGCTGAGGCGATCTCATATTCGAACTGGCCGAGGCTGATTTCCTTTTGGCGAGGCGAGTTTAGAATCGAACTGGCGATGCTGAATTCCTTTTTAAAACTGAGGCGAGCTCATATTCGAATTGGTCTAGGCTCATTTTCTTTTTAAAGCTGAGGCGAGCGCCTATTCGAACTGGCCGAGGCTGAGTTCCTNTGATTTCCTTTTGGCGAGGCGAGTTTAGAATCGAACTGACGAGGCTGGATTCCTTTTTAAAGCTGAGGCGAGCTCATCATCGAACTGGCCGAAACTAATTTCCTTTTTAAAGCTGAGGCGAGCTCATCTTCGAACTGGCCGAGGCTGATTTCCTTTTTAAAGTTGAGGCGAGCTCATATTCGAACTGGCTGAGGCTAATTTCCTTATGGCGAGGCGAGTTCATAGTCGAACTGGCGATGCTGAATTCCTTTTTAAACCTTCTGGATATTAGTGCCTACGATGTGATGGCTTTGCATGTTTCCAAGGTAAGTTGGCTGCATCGAAATGACTTTCAATAACCGTACAACCGTTTGCATTCAATACATCATGATGGCTAATTATTAGGACGCATGATGTTGGGGAAAACGTTCACACGCCAAGCCCTGCTGGTATACACACGCATTAATCTAGGACGTTGAAGATATGAACCGTTCGAAATCCGTGGCTTAAATCTATTTAATTTTGGACGCTTCAGATCATCTGGGGTTTGATCCAATGGCTAGGATTGAGTCCTTCACTGGTATAAAGGCTAGAATCTTACCATTTCCACACTTTATCTTTGCGAAACACTCATCAAAATCTCTCAAGTTTTCTTGCTGTCAAATTTTTTCCGGCGAGTCTTTCGACAAACCTCCTCATCCATTTAAGTATTCTTTCATTAAGGAGCACTCTCTTCACCCTTCAACACCAATTCTATAGTCTTTTTGCAATTTTCATCACTTGCAATGTCTGTCGAGACGTCTATAGCTATTACAGTGGTTAGGAGTGGGGAAGAGTCGATATCTGGGGCTTTGGATGAGTGGTACAGCATGTCCGAGGAGCCTATAGATTACGAGGGGGTTGGGGGGCAGCCAAGATTCCATCCAACATAACCTCTGCCAAATTAGCCAAACTTAGGAACACCTATCGCATACCCCACTACGTAGAGCTGATAGTTCCTGACCCCCACGAAAGAGCCTGTTTTCAGAGGCCAAATTGCGTAGCTTTCAGTGAATACCTGCTTAAAGCAGGTGTACGTCTGCCTCTGCACCCTTTCTTTAGAGCGGTGCTGAGGACCTTCATGTTGTCTCCTACCCCAATTCTTCCAAATGGGTGAAACCAAGTCGTAGGGACCTAC